GTTTGTAAGGTTGTAGTCGGGGAAAGGGTCCACATACAGCCGCTAGATTTTGGACACACCCTAATCTGTTCTATGTGGGTGTACAGTGTGAACGCAAGTTGGAACACACATACACACACACACACACACACATCCACATTTCACCCTCTCACCCTCCCCCTGTCTGTCTGTTCAGAGGTCCACCACATGGACAGCCGTCCAAAAAACACGTCGCGTACTGCTTTTGTTTCGCGTTTATTGACGCTGGATAAACAGTAGAGCTCTTACCACTTTGCATTCTGCTACTTTGTCTCCGAAATCCGATCCGATTTATGCATTGGAGAGGTGTTTTTCGCCTCTCCACCTGTTCAATTTACAAGCGAAATGTAATGTTATCAAAGCAGTGGACAAAGCTTGCCAACTTCCCACCCTCGTTTCAGCAATTGATGTGTTTTTCTTACCGTAGGACGCTGACTCTACTGCACTGACTTAAGACGTGCAAATTATTTTTGAGCCACTGAAAGATCCGCCACTCCTAGTACGATCCCGCGTCAAAACGGGTTTAGCACCAATTGGGCGTCTCACTCAGTGCCCACATTTTCACGACTTCCAGTGTGGGTCATGGGTTAGGAGATGGCGCAACAACACAGTCGTATCATTGCGGATGGTGCGTATGCACTTTGGGAGGATAAACTTATCTCCACAGTGTCTGGCATCCAGCTTAACGGGGTGCAGGCTGTGTTGGCCCACGACAACTGTACAAGTCAGATTATTCAATTACTGCTGTGTGTATTCTCTTCACACCAACCTCGGTTCACTGCAAATGCATCCATCCCTTGGAACTACATGGGTTTTTGTTTGCTTTTTTAGGGCCAGAATGGTCAACTGCAATTTTCCCTTCGCTCCGTGTGGGCCTTGAAAAGCCTCGGAGGCAGTGTCAGCCACCGAGGTGGAAGCTCTGGTGGGAATATCTTTGATGACCTCGGAGGCGCTTCTCCGGGACGTCAGTTAGTAGAACAACGCATCTTCCAAATCACCTCCGATGGTAGCATAGAAACGCTGGTTGAATTTGATAGAGAGGTTGTGGCTATGTACCTGTTGAATGTGGCTGTACGGGACAACGGGAGTCAACCTTTGGCCACATCTACATCCCTCCTTGTCCGCATTTTGGATGAAAATGACAACACACCGGAGTGGACGTTTCCTACTGAGTCCGCACGCCAGATAAATATTACCACTGCGAACCCACCTGGTTCACTGGTCGCTAGGCTTCAGGTTTGTAATCAGTGCTCTCACACCTAAAATTTGAATGTCAAAAAGGGTTTTACATAACGTCACATCGGTCTTGGTACTCCTTCCAAGCACATCTACCTCCCTTTTCTTGGATCCGGTACGTTTTACGCCTTCAGTATACGCAATAAGAACCCGTTCATCTCGGCTGCATTGTTCATTTCCTCATCCATACATTTTTCAACACCCAGTTATTCCTTCTCGGTTTGCCAGTGTTTTGACCGCAGTCACGCAATGCAACAGCCATCCAAGTGACTTTAAAAGCGAATAGTCGAAGAGGCGATGCTCCTCGTCACAACACCACTAAGAGTTAACGGTTTTGGCGAAACCTTTCGAAGACCTAAACGACTGCCAGCTTTACAAATAGATCACCTTTCATTCAAGTCCATTACAAGTCTAAGCAGCCGTGGTGATAGTGGCGTGGAGTGCCACACAGTTTAACAGTTAAAGCGAAGTAAACCAAGGAATTTCATTGCATTTGGGTTATTGAGGAATCAGTGCCTTCCTACTCTCCTTACTTAAAAAGACGTAACTCAATCATTACGGGTATTTTGTGGGGTAGGTTGGGATGAGTGGTGGGACTGGGCACGCCCTCTTGGCTTCTCCGTGAGGCAAAATTGACCGCCACGGTCCATTTACTTTACTAGCCTCTAATGACACCAACTGTCATTAATTTGTAGCCCATTAATCTGCTTTTCAAAAACTGTAAAGAAGGTGATCGCTTTTTTTCCACGCTAGCAGTATTTACTGACTTCAATATGGCTTGATGTAATCAGCTGCAATCATTCGTGAATGGCTGATTTGCGACACTCTCTTTGTGATACCC